TCTCTCGTTCTCCTCCTTGACTCCCCAGATCAAGGTCGAGGGTGACCTACAATTGGATTTCATCTTCAATCTTCGTAAGCCAACGCACAAGCCGGTGGATCTCTTGTCCTATCTCCTCCAGGGAAGACCCGGGCATATACCTTGTTGGTGGTATGGATAGGGTTTAGAGTTGTGAGGTGAAAGAGGGTGTAGGGGACTAATCGACGGTGTAAAGAATAGATTTATGGTTGCTTATTTTGAAAATCAGCAAAGGAGAATTAGGTTTAGGTCAAAATGCAGGTAAGAGTTCGGAACCAAGAAAGAAAAATTTTGGTGGAGGCGGCGTGGGTGGGGGTGGGGGCTAATACTAAGAAAGCCTAGGATATAACTATGGTTAGGCTAGCTCTAATACCAAATGATACTGGAGTTAACTCAAATTACAATAAAAATGAAAATATTATTACTGAAATTTAATAGGGTTACAAACAAAAACTCTTGAAAATAAGAAAAACTACAGCACACACAAGACTACAGCGTAGGTTGGCGCGGTGGTGCTGCGATTTGAGGGGAAGGAAGGGTTATGGAGGGGTTGTATGATGGAAGGACAATAACATGGAGATTGGTTGAGGGGTTAACAGGGTGGCTGGGTGCAGACAGGGTGCCTGGAGGCAAGTGCAATGCCAAGGAGAGGGGTTGGACAGCACCCAATAGCAGCAGAGGGCCACAGTACGACTAGACAGCGCCTAGCAGCAGATAATGAATAAGGATTGCGGTACAGGAACTACGGCAGCAGCAGATAGAGGAAGATGGAATTGTGGTGCAGCCGGTAGGCAGGCCCGGGAATTGCGGCAATTGCAAGGACGTGCAGGACGGGGACGACGCGACAAGATGTGGTGCTGGAGGGCGGCAGCAGCTAGGTATGGGCTGAAGGGAGAGGAGCACCAAGGAAGGAAAGAAATTTGGGGAGATAACCACCACCTTAGGAGAGGGATACAGCCAGAGCACCACCCAATCCATTGGATACAACCCTTGAAGGGGAAGACAATGGACGCCAACGGCTATCCACACAAAGATCTGAAAACAGAAACAGTCAAAATTGAATCCTAACACTACAAACAACATATAATTAGAAGCGAGATTGGTGGGAAACGAAAACACGAAGGGGGAATAATTCCCGCCCAATTAAAATAGAAAGGAGGCGAGCTTATTCAGCCCCTACCTCTTGCCAAACAGGATTGAACCAACTCAAACCCTAGCCCCTACGTCATTAAGTGAGACCAATCTACCACCCACTTAATCATGATTCGTGCAAGTTATGACAAGTGTTGGTCGAAATTGTGTCTAACTGAGTCGTCCACCTTTATTGTACCACTGTTTGACCCTAAGAAAATGTCAGGTGAGATGTAACATTATACAAAATAATAGAGATTAGGAAATAATTCATTCATTACATTACAACTATTACATGTATGTTTAATGTTCTTTCAAAAAATGTTAGCATGTTCTCGAAAGCTTAACTGCACTAAGAGAATTATGTATAGCCAATTAGATATTCCTAAAGAAATTATAAATAATTAATATTATTTGATAATGCACTATATAAAGAAGAATTTTTCCGATCACAAAACAATATTTTAATCTAATTTTGTTATACTAAAACTAAACTTGTATTTAAGAGCGTTCATGAACCTAAAGTTAAACAAAAACAAGAATTTGAGTATGTGAAATTGAGAATAAGATCCCGTATAAATATAAACTCCTTATAGAAAGTAAATATATTATCAAATATAGAATTGAGCAAATTATATCATAGTTGTAGAAAATCAATTGAACGGACTTGTAAATAGAATTATAGAATACTCTTTATTATTATTATTCATATGATAAATGACCTACTAAAATAATATTTTTAGGATCTTGATTTCATAAATCAGAATCACCCAAAAAATCTTACTAAGCAAGATAAAAGCCAAGGTTTCAAAAGACTTGATAACAATGACGGTCTTCAAGATAGCTTGAAATTTAAAACCATGTATGGCTAGTCAAATATAAAAATGCATAATTCATCACAATTAATATTTTAGTGATTCAACTTTTTATTTTAAAATAGGTTATTCATTTATATAAACATAGCATATTTATGTTGTTTGTCATTCTCAAGCTTTTCACCATCATCTCTTCCTTCAGAAGTTGGCTATGATAAATTCATTGAAAAGTGTATTTTTATTTTAACATATTCCTTAGTTGAATCATATTATATTACATCAATCATTAATTTTTTGCAAGACATGAAATAAACAACTTTTCATGGTAATAACTCTACATGGGGACGTGAATTTAGATTTACAGCTGGATTCGAGTCTAACTGGAAGTTAACACAACCCAAAAACATTTGACCCGAACCTAACATGCTTATTATAAGGGGCAAAATATTTGACCTAAACACGACTCGATCCAAACCTACCTACCCAAAAAATGACTCGTTTAATCAGTTTACTATTAGGATCATGCAATTTTTCAGATCAATATGACTCAACTAACCAGCATATGATAGTTTTAAACCAATAAACCTAACCGAAATCAATCTCACCCGAACCAACATAACCAAAATCCGAATAATGATTGAGTCAATTTTGTGTTGATTTTGAGTTATCGAGGTCAACTTAAACCCGACCCAAATAATAATTGAGTTGATATGCTTGCCCATGCCCAAATCAGTCTTCATATCAATCTGAACCCAATTTATTATTTGGATTTGGGTTTGGCTACACCCCTAATACTATGCCCATTGATGACGAGAGTTAAAGTTTATCAAAAATTCAAACAAGTGAGTTAAAGATATCATGAATTCAAAGTCGTTTCAAGGAAATAGTTCATTTAAATCCAGCAAAGTTTCTTAAATGATCCTTTAAGAAGTAAACTATTAGAAAGATATGACCATATAAATCATAAAATAAAATTTTAAATTTCTAAAAACATTTAGTATTATTATGATTTCCAATACATTTGCTCTGACTTTATTTCACAAAAAATGCCTCCGATGCATTGTATTCTTCTCTTTCACCAACCCCTTAGGCATTCACATCGGCAGGCATAAATATCATATAGTAATATTACAATCAGATTGAGTTCACTACTAAACATGGATACCCAAGGTATCCTGCACATTAGCGCAATAGATATGTTTGTAAGAGATTCTCGAATTTATCTTCCAGTGTATAACATTCAATGGTCAAGTTGCTTGACAAATATCAATTAAATTTTTTCGAAGTATAACTATCTTAAGGTGAGCAGATTGACGTGAACTCCCTCCCTTCCCTTTTGTGATTTATACTTCCTTCTGCTCCCTATAACAGTACAATTTTTATGTTTACTTGTGTAACTTCTAGCAATACTTAACATCACTTGTGACCTTCTTTCAAGTACTACAGCTACCTTGGAGTGAATTGCAGTAGTTATTATATAATTATTTTTAGTTGCAATTAACTCTTACGAGAATTTATATGATATTTGTTCCTGCACTTTCTTAATTTCATATGGTTGTCTAAAGAATTTTAAGAACTCTTAAGCCGGCATGGTTAGTGATCTATCTCTTGACCTTGAAAATTGATGGATTAAATGGCTGTGAATTTTTGGGGAATTTTTAAAAGGACGATGGCTTTTACTTATGAACTTGAAAATTGAAGTAATCCATAAATAGAAAAAGAAATTTTTGAGCCATAAAAAAAAACTCCAATGATATTTTAATGTGATTACACATTGCATTCATCTTAAAGGTTTCCTATTAATGCCCTAACCATTGTGAACATGACAATGCCTCATTTTTTATCACTGTGCCTCATTTTTTATCACTGCACCATTTCCGAGAGACCTAAATGCATAAAAGAATAATCGCAAATAAAATGGCATATAGTGCAACAGAAAATTTGCCAGCATAAATAACGCCGCAACAGTCAGTGGAAATTCTGGCATTGTAGTCAGTCAATCAATCAACGAAAAGTGTGGAAGTGTTAGACAATGAAAGGTGTAAATGGCAACAATGAAGTAATTCCAAGTTTAAATGTTTGTCATCACAATAATCTTCATCAAGAAAAAGGAGAAAATAAACATTATGACAAGTATGCCTCATTTTCTATAGCAACAATGTGCCTCCCTAGCAATAATACCCTGTTTGATAGATATTGGAGGTTATAACCGTGTATTCATCAATCCTCTGTAACCGCGACAGGTATTGTTTAGTCTTTTAAAAAACAGATTTACGTTCACTTTTTCACAAATTTCTAGAATGAGAAGAACAACACATAATATAAAGCAAAAGAATAAATTTGGGCAAGGTATGAACAGACTAACAAAGTATTCTTAATAAAGTATACCTTCCTAAATATAAAATGATAAAAAAGGCAGATCTGTGTGACAACACAACCATGATCTATATATGAATATACTCGCAAATTAGAACTACACGCTCAAATTCGAATAATTGAATTATGAACGTCAAGCACCATATGGGAAAAAACTTAAGCTTAAAAAAAGTGACTATGTACACTATAATGACAAAAGACCATAATATGCACAAAACGTTGAGTTTTGAAGGCAGGGGCAACTTGGAAATGCAGCAGCCAATGATGAATTCACAACGCATAAACCATTTAGGAAATTCTATACAGAGATAAGATCAAACATCAGTCAAAAAATTTTAAAAAAAGGGAAATTTACATACAATACCACACATGTTACGTATTAAACATATATAATACCCAAAGTTTCATACTTACACTTATAACACCTTTGTGTCACAATCCTATGCATGAAAAGGTGCATTTTACTTTTAGAATGGTAGTAGTTGTGGTTTTTTTTTTTTATGTGATACTAAAGATATTAGGGGTATGCATGAAAATATGACTGTATAGGTGTCAGATATGTAAATTTATAAGAATTGCATGGTGTGTGTGTAAATGCCCCATATAAAAAAAGAATTAAACAATTAAGTATAAAGAGCACAATAGAAGGCATCAACAGACCTTAATGATGCTTGTTGTCCAATCTCTCCGAGATAAGCCAGACTCTCTTCATCAATAGCCAGCTCTTCAACCTGCGCGCGGATAGCCAAAATCTAGCACAATATAATCAACTGGTTAGAGAAAGTTCTGCCTGTAAAAAAATTTTATTCACTTTAAGAGGGATAAAAAGGTAAAAACAAAAGTCAAAAACCTGAATTATCTCAGTAGGACCATAAGTTTCTGTGCGTATAATTACAAGTCGATCAAGGAGATCCACCGGTACGCCATGCGGACTAGTCATATCGGTTCCTCTGGATTAAAAAAAATGCAGGATCTTACGGACAGGTATATGTGTAATTGAGTCTCACAAATAACATATCACATTATATGATTTTAACAGGAAGTTAAGAGCAAAATATTGGGATGGCTCCTTACAGTGAAGAAATAAAAAAACAGTTCAGTTGCTTTTTTTTTCCAACCCAGATTTAGTTCACCTTATTTTAGTTCTTTATTTAAAGTATATCTGATAGCCTATTTCAGTTTGCTAACATTTGGTTACCAAAAGATTAAACTAATGATTTAAGCTATTCAGTTAAAACTTTAAAATCAAAGCGAATATAAGTAGAAATAGGATAGGCTAACATATATTCGTTCAAAAGTATCAGTAAGGGAATGGTTGCTTCTTAATCTAGGCTTTTTAATCGGTAATTAATGAGCACTAAAATTTTCTATGGAATTCAAGTATCGCTCATTTGAAATTCATTACCATAAATCCAATTCAAACCAATGATGCCTTTAATGTTCACCAAAAATAACTATTAAACAAACTACCACTAAAGAGAATATTAACTATAGCTTGTGCTTCATAATTAGAACAAGTTGAACACAAGTGCAGTCAGCCAAATTTTCATGTTTTTTGAGGTATACCTTACGTTGCATATTCCTCTATTGGTAGCGAAAATGACAATTGGTGAAATTGAGCTCTCCAAAGCACGATTGAGGTAAGAAAAGCATTCCATATCAAGCAAATGAACCTGCAAATATGATTTGCAATAAAAGAAGTTAGAAATTTGCAACGAACAAAATACATAACTTTGCATGACAACTTGCCTCATCAATGAATAATACCCCAGGCACAAGCTCTGCAATGCCTTCATCAATGTACCTATTAACAACCTGCATATTTCGTAAAAAAACAAGGATTTAATATTTGGATTCACCATCATGAATTTGGCATAATTTTTTATCATGTTTTGAGAGAATCTAACACAAGCCATGCTAGATTAAATCTGTATCGAATAGAGAAAAGACTTGCAAGAAGATGATGAGTTTGAAACAATTTTCAAATAAAAACAACATACCTTGTTAATTTCCTGTCGTAATTTATCTGTGATCTCAGTTTTTCTAGGTTTCATCATCTGCCCCATAAGAGATAGTATGTCCTGACCTCCTTGTGGTCGAGCATTAGCAGCATCAAGATCATGTAGTGTAACATCCTATTCAAATAATAATAACAAAACAATAAAAAAAATTAAATAATTAAAAATGCATCGTAAGACAGTTTCTTTCTATTTAGATACAATCCAAATATGAAAAAAAAAGCAAATATTCCCCATCCAATTCAGTCCTAGTTGAATAAGAATGGCAAACCATAAACAGGCCAAAACATGAAAGACAACACAGATGACCTAAAACAATAACAAAAACAACAACAACAACAACAAGCCTTTATGCCACTAAATGGGGTCAGCTACATGAATCTTTTTTCTCCATTGAGTCCTATTGAGTGTCATATTTTCATTTAATTCTAATAGATTAAGATCATTTTTTATATAATATGCCCAAGTCTTTTTAGGTCTACCTCTGTCTTTCTTAACATAAGTCAAATCTAAAACATCTAGCCTTCTAACTGGATCATCAGATAGTTGACGTTTAATGTCACCAAATCATCTAAGATGACTCTCTCTAATCTTGTCCTCTACAGGAGCTACACCAACTCTATCACAGATATATTCATTTCGCATTTTGTCTCTAAATGTCAAACCACTCATCCACCTAAGTGTTCTCATCTCAGCAACAGTTAACTTTGTTTTATGCTTCTCTTTTAAAGGCCAACATTCTGAGCCATAGAGCATTACAAGTCTCACCACCATCCTATAAAATTTTCCTTTAAGTCTAAGCAGTATTTTTCCATCACACAACAGGCCCAATGCATTCCTCCACTTCAACCAACCCACTTGAATTCTACAAATAAGGTCCCCATCTATATCACCATCACTTTAAACAATAAACCAAAAATAGCTAAAGCATTCACACCTTTAATGATTTGATCACTCATTGTTATAACTCTACACAAGAGCTACTGCTACTAAAATTATATTCCATGTATTCAGTTATAGATCTACTCAAACGAAGGCCTTTAGACTGCAATATAGACCTCTATAATTCAAGTTTTTCCTGAACTCTTTCTCTAGTCTTATCCACAAGAAAGATATCTTCAGCTAAAAGTGTACATCCTCCCGTAAATATCTAATAAGGGCATCCATAACTAAAGCAAAAAGATATGGGTTTAAAGCCAATCCCTATGTAATCCAATTGAAATTGGAAAATACTTGATCAATCCTCTTTTTGTTTGAATACAAGTAACTGTTCCATTATACATATCTTTAATGACTTGAATATAAGTCATATCAACACTTTTTTATCAACACTTTTTTTCTCATTTTTTCTCAAGAACTCTCCAAAGGACTTCTCTTGGAACCTTATCGTAAGATTTTTCTAAATCAATTAAAATCATATGTAGATCATTTTTCTTCTCTCTATACTTCTTCATCAATAATATATAGCTTCCATAGTAGACCCGCCCAACATATATCCAAACTGATTATGAGAAATCTTTGTAATATGTCTTAACCTATGTTTAATTATTCTCTCCCATAATGTTAAAATATAACACACCAACTTAATTCCTCTATAAATTGCACACTCTTGTGTGTCCTCTTTATTTTTAAAAGTGAGGACTAAAATACTCTTCCTCCACTCCTCAAGCATTTTTTATTTTTTAAAATAATAATAAAGTGTAAGCCAAGTAACTCCCAAATCTCCTAAATATTTTCGCACTTCAATTGGAATACCATCAAGTCCTACTGATTTTCCACCCTAAGTTTTCTTTGAAGCCTCTACTTTTTTTACTAATGCGATGGTAAAAATAAATTATTTTATTATTATTAATAATATTAGAAGCCCGTTTGGGGCAGTTTATTTGGTGTGGTGGCGTTTTGAAAAAGCATCTGTTCTTATTGAGTAAACTGCGTTTTGACAGCTTATGTGTTTTCAAAATACTGAAAACAGTGTTTTCACACCACACCTATCTAGGTGCAGTGGCAACTTTCTGGTAGCGATCTGGCTTTTCCAAGAAAATAAAAATTTGTAATAGTCATCTCACCTAGCTTATCAGCAGATTATACAATAAGTTGCAGCTGCCCCAAACACTCATTATTCACGATATTAAGATCACTAAGGTCGATCGGATTTTCAGAAACTTCATTGAAAAGTTTAACAAAATAGCTCACCCATCTATGTTGAATATCTTTTTCTAAGAAAAGCTTTTTTTTTATTTTCATCTTTAATACGCTTTATTTGAGCTAAATATTTACTTCTCTTTGTTTGGTTAGTTTATACATATATTTTTCATCATCTTTACTATTTAATATATTATAAAAATCACTAAAAGCAGAATTTGTAATATCACAAATTATTCTCTTAAACTCCCTAAGAACCTCCTTATATTTTTCTCAATTCTCTATGCATTTACATTTAAACTAATTTTATATCACAGCTTCTTATATTTTATCTTTTCTGATATATTATTATTTCACCTCCAACTATTTCTATTTATAGAAACTTTTTCTTTTGATTCCCCATTTACAACTTTTGTCACTTGTTTAATAGTATTTTTTATTTTATCCCATATAAAATTTGGTTCTTCATGAACATCTCAAATCTTGAAAACTTAAAACTTACTCGTAAAAAATTTTATATATATCTTTTAAGTACCCCATCTAATTTTATGATAATGTTTCCTAGTATTTTTTATCTTACAGATCTTCATCTTAAAATCTAGAACTAATAATCGATTGTATTTTAATTTTCACATGAAATAACCTTACAATCTTTACAATCTCTTTTTCTCATGAGAAAATAATCAATTTGTGTTTATTATATTCATTCTTATAAGTAATAATATGTTCATCACTTTTTTTTTAAAAAACATTAGCAATAACAAAATCATACGCTAAACTAAAATCAAATATGGTTCTACCTTCTTCATTAATCACTCCAAAACCACAGCCACCATGAACATTTCTAAAATTTGCTACCACTCTTACCAATATGTCCATTTAAATCTCCTCGAATAATTTTTTTTATTTAAGAGGTATCAATTGTATTAATTTTTCTAACTCATTCCAGAATTTTTCTTTAGAACCAATATCACTTATAAAATTAAAAATCCTAGTATCAACAACAATTTTACAATAATTTTATCTCCAATTCTATTAATATTTACAACATTATCTTTCAAAACCTTATCTATAATTACACCTAAACCATTCTAGTGTGACTCCTACTAGAATACCAAATGTTTAAAACTTAAGTTATCAATCTCCTTAGTCTTTTCTCCAACTCATTTAGTTTCGTTAATATATAAGATATTTATCTTTCTATAAACCATAATATCAACTAATTTCATTAATTTATTTGTGAGAGTACTCATATTCTAAGATTTTATCTTAATATTAGTTTCATGAACTAACTTGTTTACCCACATTCGTCCGTAATGTGAGAAGTTTTGCTTATTTGACACCACATAATGACATCACTATAGCGGTTCTTACACACTTTTCACTGTATTCAGGTCAAATAGCGCATCACTCCAGGGAACACCTTAGCATTTATATAAAGATTTAAAGGATTCATGTCATAAATTTTCGACAAATTTTATATTGATTGTCAACTACCTAATACAACCCTTCACTTTTCGCATTTGGGTTTAGGACCCACCAATGACAGTGTTACAGCACAGATGACTTGCTAGATGAATATTTCAATGCTCATATTTTAGATTAAAAAAGGGCAATAAGGAAGATTATTTCGAGAATATTTGTAATCAAAAAAGCAGCTATGACATCCTAAAATAGGAATAACAGAGAAAACAAAACAACAAAAGTCCTTCATATCTGATTGATCAAATAACATTGTCCTTAACCCGACTACTTGAGGTCACCTCCAGGAGTCCTCATTTTGTGTAAGTGTTTTGCACAAATTCTAGCTATGTTCTTACTAACCAACCCATTTCTTTCTAGATCCGTGCACATTAAATATTGTCCATCATTGTAAAAAAAAAAAATACCAGGAATCATCATCGTAGAATTAAATAGAGAAACTTAAAAGACACAAATAAAATTATTTTTATAAGTAAAATTCAAGATTTCAAAATTTGGGATATTCATGGAGAAGCAAATGTTATGTGGGATAAAGTAACAAACATCATTAAACAAGTAGCAAAAGATGTGCTCGGAAAATCAAAAGAAAAAGTTTTTATAAATAAAAATAGTTTGTGGTGGAATAATAATGTGCAAGAAAAGATAAAATATAAGAAGTTATGTTACAAAAATTGGTTTAAATGTAAAAGCTTAAAAAATTGGGAAAAATATCAAACGGCCCTCAGAGAGTCTAAAAGAACAATCTGGATGCAAAAAATTCTGCTTTTAATGATCTTTATAATAGATTAGATACTAAGAAGAGTAAAAAATATATGTATAAACTAGCCAAACAAAGAGAAAAGAAAAGTAAATATTTAACTCAAGTAAAGTGTATTAAAGATGAAAATCAAAAAGTATTTTTCTTAGAAAAAAATATTCAACATAGGTGGGTGAGTTACTTTGATAAACTTTTTAATAAAGTTTCTGAAAATACGATCGACCTTAGTGATCTTAATATCGTGAATAATAATAAAACGTTTTTTTTTTTACCGTTGCATTAGTAAAAAAAGAAATTGATGAGGCTTTAAAAAAAATCAAGGGTGGAAAGTCTGTAGGACCTGATGATATCCCAATTAAAGTGTGGAAATATTTAGGAGATTTGGGAATTTCTTGGCTCACTAAACTCTTTAATATTATTTTAAAAACTAAACAGATGTCTGAGGAGTGGATGAAGAGTATTTTGATCCCCATTTTTAAGAATAAAAGGGATGCACAAGAGTGTGTAAATTATAGAGGAAAATTAAGTTGATGTGATACTTTAAAATTATGGGAGAGGGTAATTGAACATAG